TCATAAGCCTGTAGTATTTTGTGTATGGTACCTGTGGATAATTCTGGGGGATTGGAAGGATATAGAGTTTTCATTTATATGGAAATAAGACACAATCAGAATATTTAGAAAATGTGTGATATGTATTAAAAACGACTCAGAATGTATTGTTGTATGATGAATGTTAAATATGTTAGGACAGGTGTTTTTAGAAAAACACTGTTTTTGGTCAGAGTAATTCTTACAATATGGGTCTATCCATCCTTCCCCTCCTCCCCACTAAATTAAAAATAAAAATAGCCAAATCTTGCCTTCATTCCAGCTCCAAGGTCAAGCTCTCCCAGCACCCTGATGCTTCTCTGATGTCATCACTTCCCCTCGCTAGCTTGAGAGGGACATTCTGGAGGACAGGCTGAGTGAAGGAAGTGGGGGGTAGAGATGATTGGCCTGGGCTGCCATTGGTCATCTGTAGGCAGCATGCTCTGTGTCCTGATGATGGACATCCAATATGCACAGAACTGACATTAACCAGTTCAGATCTCTTCTACCAGGCTGACTAAAGATGCCATAATGGCACTTCTGGAGGTGGAGTTACACCGCCAGTAATAAAGGGCTAGATCTCTGTATGTGAAGCGATTCATTATTATTATTATTGGCATTTATATAGCACCAACAAATTCCACAGCGCTTTACAATATTAAATACTGAAGTGGTCATGGTGCTTGGAGTAACCCTTTAAGCAAACAAAACTTGTATAAAGAGGCTGAGTTATATTAACTTTGGTGGGAAGTCAAACTGAATTTCAAATTATAGGTTAAAATAATCAAAGTGTAAGAATGCTGACTAGGAGACTTTTTCCAATTCCTATTTTAGCCAAAAGTTTTCAATTATTTTCAATTTACTCTGAGTTTACAAGTCAGAATTCTGTGACTATGTCAGCAATATTTGCTAAACTTTAAATTGTCTAGACTTCACCAGCCAAAAAATGCCAGCAGACATGCAATAATGGCAAATCTAGTAATTGTCACAGTAGTATACCCCAACATGCAAGAATAGTCCAATGAGAGACAATATAACAAGATACATCTTACCGGGCCTTAGAATGGCCGGACTCGACGTGGACAGGAAAAGACAGAGTCAAGAATGAGCCGAGGTCATGGAACAGAGAGACAGAGTAAACAAGAACTAGCCAAGGACTGGTACACAGGAGTCAAGAAACCGGTGAACAAGACAAAGTAGGTATAAAGAGAAAAACTGAGTCAGGTACAAAGCCAAGGTCAAGCACAAAAAAACCACTACTACACGAGGCAAGCACTAAAGGGAACTGAATCAGAAACCACGATAGGGCAGGGAGCTAAGGGAAAGGTGAGTATAAATACCTATTAGTTTCATTTGATTGGCCCCTGTCATATCCACGCCCCCAAAACGTGAGTATATGGGGAATGTGGAATGACATGGGCCAATGGGAGACCTTTTTTATTTTTGGCTCCCACTGTCCCTTTAAAAGCGCGCACCCGATACGCGCGGGGCGCTCCCAGTGCCAGGCGTGTCATGTGGCCGCTGTTAGTGTTTTTCTTATTGAACAAACTCCATCTTACTTTTCGGTGGGGATTTTGTTTCCATGTTGCAGATTTAGCTAATTGTTGTAAGCAGGTAGTGTAACCAGCACAACTGGATGTTTAGTGAATAGAAAGATTTACCTTCTCACCTGTATGTTTGCAAGCACATGTTCTGAAATTGGCATAATATTATCCATTAGGTGCAATGACAAGGAATGTTAGTGTTGGTTAAACTTTTTGAAATGCCACAAATATATTCAGAATAGTGTGTGTTGCTTCAGTATGGTACACATTAGCAACTAATTTGTGTAAAGGAAACCTGGGGGCTAGTAAATGGGATTTGAGGTGTGCCAGTGATATCTTAACTGCTGTCTAACAGCTATTATCGCGTCCTAATGTACTCCTAATGGATGCAGGCCAGGATTACCTACAGACTAACTGCTGAGACCATCTACTCGTTGACCTGTCACATTAACAAGGGTTTGTCTGCTAAGAAAGCAAACATTGATAAGCTTGCTTATACACACAGCCCAGAGAGGACATTGTCTACCTGGGAGAAATACAGCTACACAGTAACTTCATCTTCACACATACCTGGCCATCTAATATTCTAGGCTGATTCTAATGACCAGATAGTATATGGTAACAATTCTTTCAGAAAGTAGCAAAAAATCCTGAACTGACAGTCACTCAGCAAGTCATAACAAACAGTAAAACTTTTACATTTAAAAAAATAAACATTTACATAATAATGTATACACAGGTGATGACAAAAAGTAACCAAACTGAAATATTATTTACGTTTCTATTCACACACACACACATACTATTGGCTGAAGGGAATTCTTACATTACAGTAATGCATTACTACATTGATGGTTCAGGAGGATTTCATTAGAATTTGTGAAAGAATTTCATATTTAAGATGCTTTGCTTGTTTTACACCATGAAAGCATGTTTAGACATTTCACTAGCCTTGAATGAGCTGTTTATTGCTAAGATCTGGTACATGAAGTGGTAAGGTATACCATGCAGTGTACAGACTGGATAATGTACACATTGCAGTTTATAGACTGGATAATGTATACCATGCAATGTACAGACTGGATAATGTATACCATGCAGTGTACAGACTGGATAATGTACACATTGCAGTTTATAGACTGGATAATGTATACCATGCAGTGTACAGATTGGATAATGTATACCATGCAGTGTACAGACTGGGTAATGTATACCATGCAATGTACAGATTGGATAATGTATACCATGCAATGTACAGACTGGATAATGTATACCATGCAGTGTACAGACTGGATAATGTATACCATGCAGTGTACAGATTGGATAATGTATACCATGCAATGTACAGACTGGATAATTTATACCATGCAGTGTACAGACTGGATAATGTATACCATGCAGTGTACAGATTGGATAATGTATACCATGCAGTGTACAGACTGGGTAATGTATACCATGCAGTGTACAGACTGGGTAATGTATACCATGCAATGTACAGACTGGATAATGTACACATTGCAGTTTATAGACTGGATAATGTATACCATGCAGTGTACAGACTGGATAATGTATACCATGCAATGTACAGACTGGATAATGTATACCATGCAGTGTACAGACTGGGTAATGTATACCATGCAATGTACAGACTGGATAATGTATACCATGCAGTGCACAGACTGGATAGTGTATATCATGCAGTGTACAGACTGGATAATGTACACATTGCAGTTTATAGACTGGATAATGTATACCATGCAGTGTACAGATTGGATAATGTATACCATGCAGTGTACAGACTGGGTAATGTATACCATGCAATGTACAGACTGGATAATGTATACCATGCAGTACAGACTGGATAATGTATACCATGCAGTGTACAGACTGGATAATGTATACCATGCAGTGTACAGACTGGATAATGTATACCATGCAATGTACAGACTGGATAATTTATACCATGCAGTGTACAGACTGGATAATGTATACCATGCAGTGTACAGATTGGATAATGTATACCATGCAGTGTACAGACTGGGTAATGTATACCATGCAGTGTACAGACTGGGTAATGTATACCATGCAATGTACAGACTGGATAATGTACACATTGCAGTTCATAGACTGGATAATGTATACCATGCAGTGTACAGACTGGATAATGTATACCATGCAATGTACAGACTGGATAATGTATACCATGCAGTGTACAGACTGGGTAATGTATACCATGCAATGTACAGACTGGATAATGTATACCATGCAGTGCACAGACTGGATAGTGTATATCATGCAGTGCACAGACTGGATAAGGTATACCATGTAGTGTTCATACTGGATAACGTATACCATGCAATGCACAGACTGTATGATGTAAACCATGCAGTGTACAGATTGGGTAATATATACCATGCAATGTACAGACTGGATAATGTATACCATGCAGTGTACAGACTGGGTAATGTATACCATGCAATGTACAGACTGGATAAGGTATACTATGCAGTGTACAGACTGGATAATGTATACCATGCAGTGTACAGATTGGATAATGTACACCATGCAATGTACAGACTGGATAATGTAAACCATGCAATGTACAGACAGGATAAGGTATACCATGCAGTGTACAGACTGTATAATGTATACCATGCAGGGCACAGACTGCATAATGTATACCATGCAATGTACAGACTGGATAATGTATACCATGCAGTGTACAGACTGGATAATGTATACCATGAAATGCACAGACTGGATAACGTGTACCATGCAGTGTACAGACTGGATACCGTATACCATATCAGTTTACAGACTGGATAATGTATACCATACAATGTACAGACTGGATAATGTGTACCATGCAGTGTACAGACTGGATAATGTTCACCATGCAGGGCACAGACTGGATAATGTACACCATGCAATGTACAGACTGGATAATGTATACCATGCAGTGTACAGACTGGATAATGTATACCATGCAGGGCACAGAATGGATAATGTATACCATGCAATGTACAGAATGGATAATGTATACCATGCAGTGTACAGACTGGGTAATGTATACTATGCGGTGTACAGACTGGATAATGCCATGCAGTGCACAGACTGGATATGGTATGTGTGAGTTACTCTGATGGGTTGCTAGATAAATCGGCCCTGGTGGTTTTTCATTTTCCTTCCCAGATTATTTCCTGTTTATCTGTGCTAGAAATCTCACCCAATGTGTGTCAGTGTCTGCATGTCTGAGCTCCTGAATTAGGCCTTACAAGATATATCAGTCCATTCCATTCCATAGGGCGATCAGTACAATAGAAGTGCTTTCTCTACACAGGTAAGGCTTTCCAGTGCCGGATTTGTGCAGAGTGAAGGTGGATGGGCCTCTGGGTGAATCGGTGAGGAGGGGTGTCGGGGGGGTCTTTTGAGGTGGGACATTGGCCAATGGTTATTGAGAATGTCTAAACAGCCTCTCTGGCTGAAAGTAAGCAGGGAATCATTATACAGACTCCTGGAGCAGTATCTTCTCTACAAGGTGTGCATGGGATCTCTGTGAAGCCCCCATGCCCTCTTCCTTTCATTTTGGGATTATTTGGGGTATTCTTTAACTGTGAGAGTCCTCAAAATGCTCCCCAGCCCTGTTACTTCTACACCCTTTTCAGTTAAAGATATTTTGAGGCTGGAGCAGACTGTGCATCCCGAAGGCCAGGTGGAGGCACGTGTGGCTTTTCTTCCCCTCTCAGAACCTATTGTACCCAAGGGGAACACTCGGAACCATGATCGAGAGGAGAGAGGGGAGAGTGGGGGGCAAGGGGCCCAGAGACCCACCGGTGAATCACCTGTGAGAGAATGTTCGGATCGTAACCAGGATCAAAGTAAGTGTACCCATTGTGTTACAATCTGCTTCCCACCAAAGAATGAAATCCATGTGTATCCAGATATTGAATTCATTGATCTTATTAATTTATTTTATTAGTAGTATGGCAGTATTCTGAGTTAATCTCAGTATGGATTACCAGGGAGCACTAGCTGATTACTGTTAGTGATTTATTTGGTATTTGTCTGTAAATATATAGAAAAGACTATACGAAATTCATAATAAAAAAATAAAAAATCCAGGCCAACTTCCTTCTGTTGAGTAATTATGTTGCTGTATAAATCAATTTTATTTACAGTAGTTTATATCCTCTACATAATCGAAATATTAGGAAAATTATTCTTAAATCTAAAGACAAATAAATGCATTAAACACATTAAAATGCAACCATTTTATTTCTTTATAATTTGAATTCATTTTATATTTAAATGTCTTCTATACAGTGATCATATTCAAGAGTAAATAGTTTTTAAATCTACAGGCTAATAAATGTCATATCAAACTGTGTTGGTATATATATATACTTATTAATATGTGACAATTACAATTAATGAATATTGTTTTTGGTAGATGTTCCAGATATTATCTGCCTGGTTGTTCTGAGGAAAAAAAATAGAATCTGTATAATTATTTACACCAGTGGTGGGTAAATAGATGTTTAATTATGCCGGGATAATTTTAAAAAAAAGACAACAGCGAAATTATAAATAATACTAAAAGTCAGTTTGGCAGACTGTAGAACAATTTGGCAAAGTTGCAAAAAAATTGCATATTTTGAATTGTTTTATTCTTCGACTTTTCCCAAGACAGAGAAAAAGATTAATAGTTTTGAAACATTCTTTTTTTTCCATTTAAGTTATGGACCATTCAATTAGAACGTATAGAACAGTATACTGTATAATCATATTAGCATTCGATATGTGCAAAAATATTACTATATAAAGCAGCGAAATTCCTTAGGAAATCATTTCATTGGAATTAGCAATCAGTTTACCATGCAGTGGGCTATCTTCCCACCTACCCATGTTATCTGTTTATATCAGGAGAGTAAGGTATATCTGTGCACATCATTGACTTTTCCTGTTCTGCAAATATATTATTATTATTTTTATTTATTATTTTTTTTTATTCTTTATTTTTGTTGTGCAAGAATTTACAAACCAGCATTTAACGCCACAGCTTTTTGCTGTTATTTTGTCCTAACTCGTTCAGGTAGGTTTTCAGGTTATCACATCTCGCATCATAGTTAATAGATCCCAATATGCTTACCGTGATAAGCCAACAGTTCTTTTTTGTTTCCTCCAAAAATAGCGATATTAATTCCACGATCGAATTTTTGACAAACCAGTTCTATATTAAAATACATTATTTATTTCAAAAATCTTAGATGAATTATTCAATATTATCAGAAAGGATATGCAGATTTTTTTTCTGTTTAATTCAGCACATAGCACATGATTTTGAGTATATGTACTAAACAGTTGGGTTTATTCCTTAGCGTATTGCGTTAAAAATCGATCTACAAAATAAGACCAAAAGTTAAAAAAAAAAAGAAAAGAAATACATTATAACAAGAGTTTAATAGGAGGGTTTGTTTGTCCACTCCAGATATTTAACTTAATGTTTGGAGTAAGGTATAATTATTAGCAACAGTTTAGTGAATATGCCTCTAGGATTTTTGCAATTACTAAATAAATAGATTATATAAACGATATATTAATTTAAAAAATAAATCTGCCTTTTACTTATAAAAAATACATATTAGAACTGGAAAATAAACGCAATATTTCAATATAAAGGTATGTAGACGAATATTTCGTTTATAAAAATGTAATAAAATGTCAGGTTTCTTACTTTTTTTAGCTTTGTATTATTTATTATAAATATTAAAACAATAAAAATGGAACTACTTTGCAAATGGAACTATTATAATACAAGTCTATAATATATGAAAATATTTTTGTAGAATGAATAAAATATACGGTAGGATTTGAATTTTATTCAGAGATAATTCTTTGGAAATATTGACATTACCCGTGCCAACAATATAGATATAAAGATCTGTAGCTTCAGTTGGTTATAAATTATACATTTAGTAAAAAAAAAAAACAACAACATGGATTTATTCTCCCTTAGTACTTTGACCTCAGTTAAAATCATTATCATAATGCAGAGAAAAAAATAATGTAAATGCCTTATACAAAAAAATAAAATAAAAAAAAGGCTGATGCGTGGGAACTCTGTAATTTCTCTATATGTTGGCAATACCAATAATATAATAATATAAATTAAACATATTTCATAAAGGTTTTGAATTAATGAAAAGCGTTGTAAAAATGCATATTATAAAAGTTTTATGTAAAAAGACAAATTGATGTATATTTTATATATATATATTTTTTACTGCTCTTATGTTCCTATTAACAGTAGTGTAATGGTATATTATACAAAACAACCCTGAGGATAGTCCTGTCATTTTTTTATTTATATATTTTTGTAATGCCATATGTGTAAATAAAGACAGATGTTTTAACTTTTTGGTGAAGTTCAGCGAGTGCATTTTATCTTGGAATAGACAGGCAGATAGATGTGTGTTTTGGCCTGGGTATTGAAAGTGAGTTGTCAGTGCTCTATAAATCCCTCACAGAGCAAGTTAGTGCCAATTGTATGAATCTGGAGGAGTATATTTACTGAACAGCGAATTGGAAAGCGTTTAGAAAAAAAAAATCTCATTTTTTGGAAGAAGCTCAGCTGTAGTCAGTTTGGCGATCAGCGACCAAACCCCTTTGTACTCCATGCAGTGCTAATTGTAAAAGATGGTAAACCTTGCTGCCACCTACTGCTAAATGTGTATTAACCCTTTCTTTGTAAGATGGGTAGCCCATGCAAGGGGCTCTCCTGGCACTGTAAAGGTTAAATGTGACAAATTATATGTTAATAAACCACTACCATTCTCTCCCCATTCCCAGGGCAGAGTGTGGGTGCAGTAAGGAGAATGGAGCCCTCTGATCGCTCCCAGCAGAGGCAGAGGAGGAAGCCCAGGGTCCTGTTCTCACAGCTACAGGTGTATGAGCTGGAGAGGAGATTTAAAGAGCAGAGATACCTATCGGCCCCGGAGAGGGAGCAACTGGCAGCCATCCTCAAGCTCACATCCACACAAGTCAAGATCTGGTTCCAGAATAGAAGATATAAATGCAAAAGACAGAAACAGGACAGGTCTCTGGAACTGGCAAGCCACCCACCACCACCACCACGCAGGGTGGCAGTGCCAGTCCTGGTAAGAGATGGCAAACCATGCATCGCAAGCTCCCAGACTTTAACTGGCCCATATAATGCCACCGGCAGCCCGTACACCTACCCTGTCTGTTATGGTACCTACAGCAATGCTGGCCATTACTCAGGGGCCCCTACTGTGCCAGGCAGTATCACCCCTCAGCTGTTCAATATAAATTTCTCAGCTGTGCCAAACAGTGCCCAGCAAGGACACATACAGGCTGCACTGCAGGGAATTAGAGCTTGGTGACATTGACATTAATCCGAGTACTGCACCAATGTGATACATGTAGATACACCGAGAGATCAGATGTCCAGGACTGTGAGATTGCTCATCGAAGGACACAGAAGGAAATTAACTCACACCTTATCAGCAGAGGACATTGTGTCAATTACAGAGATATCATTCATTTCTACTTTTTCATTCCCTGCACAGTTCAGTACAAAAAGCATTAACCATGCGAGGAGATTTTATGATATTTTTTTTATATATATATATATTTTTTAAATAAAATTTATTTATATTCATTTGACAATTCATTCTGGATTTTATTTTGCAATTCTAATATTTTCTCTATGGTATATATTTAGCACACACGGTTATTATTATTATTATGATATTTATAGAGCGCCATCAAATTCCACCGCGCTTTACAATGGGTGGACGAACAGACATATAGTTGTAACCAGACAAGTTGGACACACAGGAACAGAGGGGTTGAGGGCCCTGCTCAATGAGCTTAGATGCTAGAGGGAGTGGGGTAAAATGACACAAAAAGGTAAGGACAGTATTAGACTATTGACAGTTGCAGAAGAGGAATCAGTCAGGAGCTATTAACAGTTTAATTGATACGCTTTTATGAAGAAGTGGGTTTTTAACGATTTTTGAAGGAGTGGAGACTGCGTGAGCATCTAATGGAGGAGGGAAGTGAGTTCCACAGGAACAGTGCAGCCCTCCAGAAATCTTGAAGGCCATAATTACTGATAATTCGAGCAGCTAAAGTCAGGTATGCTCACTTTACTGGGAAAAATATTCAGAATCTAACTAATAACGGTGGACTATTAAACATATTATATCAGAATCGATTCAATTCTTAATAACCAAGGAATCCTGAAAATATTGAGTGTGATTCTAAAAGAATGGGCTTCAGGCTTGAACGTCAGCCTTTTCTCAGCCTAGACAACTATTTATTATTTATTTATTTATTTATAAAATATTTTACCAGGAAAGATACATTGAGATTTCTCTTGTTTTCAAGTATGTCCTGGGTCCACAAATCTGTATGTAACTAATGTTGGAGGGGGATACAACAATCTGAGAATATTTTTGAAAACATAGTAACATATTTGTCGACAGCAACTATTAATATATATATATATATATATAATTTATTTCTAATGGAAACCTGCACTCCTGGGTACAAACATTCTTGATGCCCAGCGCTGATCTATAAATAGTATATTTGAGCACAAATTATAGCACTCCAAGAATTTCATATAAGGATCAAAATTAAACTTTGCTTTCATTTATAGTTAGCTTAATGTAAAAATATAAACTTTTCAGTTTTGGTCATGTATGTTTTTTTTTTTTTGCCAATACTGATATTTTTTACCTAAAGCTAAATAAAAGTTAAGTTTTGATCCTTATATGAAGTATGTGGAGTGCTATCATTTTTGTTTTTATATATATCATTAAGATTATTTTAATTATTTAATCATATTAACATATATATTATTATTTTTATTTAAGGTACTAGTAGTGAATTTAATTGAAATTATTTCATATTTCAGAAAACAACATATGCAAAAAAAGTTAATATTTATAAGTTCATACTTAAAAAAGCTGTTAATCCTCAAATAAAAAAAAGTTTAAAAATATATATATATTTACCTATTCACTAAACTCTGAACTGTAAAGAATGAAAACTTGCCAAATTCAGACTAAAGTAGCCAAGCTCTGACTATAGTTGAATTACAGAATTTTTCCAGATCAACTATTTTAGTCAAAATTTTGGCATATATATTACAATTTGTTTCAATTTGGAGTCTAGTGCATGTACCTAGCATGCACACATACTGGAAACATTAAATTGAAGTTGTAGACAAATATTCTGTTTATTTCCCCAGTCTTCTCTGTTTAATGTTAATATTTTGTATTAATTTGTTTTATCAGAAAAATATTAACAGTGAATATTAAAAATGCGTTAATAAGACAAGTCTAATTTGGCTTGGATTCTGGATTATTATTTAATTCAATACAAGGTGATATTTACTGAATAAATCACTTTGAACAATTCCAAAGATAAATTACGAGTGAACAAAAAACTGATCCAAGGTTTATATACCTCTACCTCCATCACCTCTACCTTGCAGGCTCGCAGCTGGATGTTCTTTTTGACTTTAACCTCTCTTTCACCCCTCATGTCCAATCAATCGCCAATTCCTGTCGCTTCCATCCATCCCTATTTAACCCCGGATGTGGCTACAGTGATGGTCCATGCCGTTGTTCTTTCTCGCCTTGACTACTGCAATACCCTTCTAAGTAGTCTTACGTGTAACCAGATTGCACCGCTGCAATCTATAATGAATGCGGCAGCGAGGCTAATTTTTCTGTCCGCTTGCACCTCCCACGCTTCCCCGCTCTATCAGTCCCTGCACTGGCTTCCAGTTAGATATAGGGCTCAATTTAAAATTCTGGTGCTTGCTTACAAGTCCTACGTATATCCTGTGTCCGTATTCCCACCTTTAATGCTCGCCTCCAAGATTTCTCCAGGGCTGCACCTCTTCTGTGGAACTCCCTTCCCTTCTCCGTAAGACTTTCACCCAGTCTCCATTCACTAAAAAAATCATTGAAAACTCACTTCTTCAAGAAAGCATATCAATTAAACTGTTAGTAGGTTTTCATCCCCCACCCTCCATGACTCCTCTCCTGCAACTGTCAAAATTCACCTACTAAGCCATCAGTGAATACCTTTCTAACAAGTTATTTCGTACCCCTACTTTTACCCTTTGTGTCACTATACCCTACTCCCTCTAGAATGTAAGGTCATTGAGCAGGGCCCTCCACCCCCTTTGTTCCTGTATGTCCAGTTGTCTTGTTACAATTACATATCTTTTAGTCCACCCATTGTACAGCGCCACTGAATCTGATGGTGCTATATAAATAATAAAATAATAACATAATAATATAACAAAACAATGCAAACTGTGTTTCCCCCAAAGTCCAAGTAATTCAGGAAAAAACATGTGGCCTAGTCCACACAGTACAACATGCCACCAACACCAATCTGCACTGAGTTTCCCTATATAATAAACATTCAGCCATAACCCCCAGGGTTCACTATTTACACCTGCTACATACCTTTGGCAAGTAAATTAAAAGTAAGCAAAAATTTTCTCTTGCTGGTAGTAATTCACAGTCATAGACCCTCCAGGTTTGCAGTGGAGAGTAACCTTCAACTATTGCAGTAACGGAAAAACAAACTTTTAAAGGAAAACATTAGCTGCATTCTGTTTTCCTAACGCAACAGTCCTGGTTCCCTTTTTCAATTTTGTCTGTTCCCCCCCACCCCCCTACCTGTACAAAAATAAAAACGAAAAAATCAAAGCAAACAAATTACCCAGACTCTGTCTCTGGACCACCTGCTCCCCCACTTCCGGTTTGCATCTATGGATCTGCACACAACTTCTTACACAAAGGACAGGGGGTGCTGCTCAATCAGATGGTCTCTATGAGAATATCTGATTGAAATTGCAGAGTTTTATTTGGCTATTTCTGCAGAAGCTCCTCTAGTGGCTGCCCCACTAGAGTTATTTAAAGTCTGCAATACAGCTTAAAACTTGAGGCACATGGCACCCAGACCACTGTATTGAGATGAAATGGTCTGGGTGCCAAAAAGTTCCTTCAAGGATATTAAGAAAACCTGGACCTCTGCAGGACCGGCGCTCTCATAAAGTGGCACAGGCGGCCTTCTTGGATCTCACTGGCCTAGGAAGCGCCTGACTCAGGTGACCAACAGCAGGAGAGCACATCACTGCATTCCCCTCCTGCAGGTCTCTATATGTAGCATGGCAGAGCACAGGAGAGGTGCTTGTTTCCTTCTCCACTCACTGCGGTCTGCTCTTGGCCATGCTACGCAGGAGGAGGAAGGTGAGCTGGCACATGAGGGAAGGAAATGAGACACATCAATGGAGGGGCTGGGGGAATGAGACACGTTGGTGGCTTGGGGAATGAGACACATGAGGGAGCTGTGGGAATGAGACACATGAGGGGGCTGTGGGAATGAGACACATGAGGGAGCTGTGGGAATGAGACACATGAGGGGGCTGTGGGAATGAGACACATGAGGGAGCTGTGGTAATGAGACACATGAGGGATGGAATGAGGGAGGGCTGTAGGGAGATGACACATAAGGAATGGAATGGACACATGGGTGGGAAATCAGATGAATGGGGTGGCTGTGGGAATGAGACACATGAGGGGCTGGGGGAATGAGACACATGAATGACATGGAATGGGGGAAATCTGGGGGGGAATTGAGACATATGAGGGGCTGGGGGAATGAGACACGTTGGTGGCTTGGGGAATGAGACACATGAGGGAGCTGTGGGAATGAGACACATGAGGGGGCTGTGGGAATGAGACACATGAGGGAGCTGTGGGAATGAGACACATGAGGGGGCTGTGGGAATGAGACACATGAGGGAGCTGGGTAATGAGACACATGAATGGAGGGGCTGGGGGATTCAGACACATAAATGGAATGGCTTGGGAAATCAGATATGGGCGGCTTGGAGACTGAGACATATGGAGGGGCTGGGGGGGAAATGAGACATATGGAGGGACTGTGGTGGAGGAAATGAGCACATGGAGGGGCTGAAGGGGGAGGAATTGAGACACATTGGGCCTGTGTAGCCAAAACTCCTTACATCGGCCATGGTCTTCCAGTACTGGTTTTGGAATCACAAAATGAATATAAAAGGTCAGAAATATTAACATAAACTCTCCAGAATCTGCATGAAACGTGTGTAGTTTATCTTGCATGTTGAGCTGAGAGAATAAAGGAGATATGCAACTTTGTTTCTTCACAAAGCTTGGTGGGTTATTTCTTGTAGCAATCAGAGTATGAGGTGTGGAGGAGGGAAATTAAAGGAACACTATAGGGTCAGGAACACAACCATGTCTTCCTAATCCTATAGTGTTAAAACCACCCTTTAGGTGGCTTGCCCTCCTTAACTCCTTAAAATGTAGGAAAACGTACCTTATTTCCAGCACCGCGCTGGTCTGCCAGCGCTGGCTCCGTCCCAGATCCTTACTGACATCATCATAATTAATTGAGTTCGACTAATCCAATACTTTCCCATAGAGAAGCAATGCATCTCTATGAGGAAAAGTTTAGAGAGTGGAGACGCTTAACCGCAGTGCTGCCTACTGTGCAGCATTGCACAGGAGGCACCTCCAGCGGCCATCTGAGGAGTGGCCACTGGAGATGTCCTTAGGGGGCCTGCGGGAAATGAATAAACTCACCAGAACAACTACATTAAGCAGTAGTTATTTTGGTGACTAAAGTGTGCTTTTAATGCCACAACAAATGTTGGAAAGGAGTACTTTAAAACAAGGAACTGTATTTACACTTTGTGGCACTGTTCCCATATTAAGGCATGAGAGTTACATTCTGCTGCCATGTTGGGAAATTGCATTCCCAGTAATATCAGTAGAAATAATGTAAATAACATGATGATAGCATCTGACATTTTATTTTAACTGTTGGAAGGATTTAAAGACAAGTGATATGATATTACTTTTAAAGGACCACTATAGGCACCCAGACCACTTCAGCTTAATGAAGTGGTCTGGGTGCAAGGTTCATCTAGGATTAACCCTTTTTTCTATAAACATAGCAGTTTCAGGCGTTTGCGTGCTTCTCACTGTGAAAATCACAGTGAGAAGACGCCAGCGTCCATAGGAAAGCATTGTGAATGCTTTCCTATGAGACTTGCTGAATGCACGTGCGGCTCTTGCCGCGCATGCGCATTCGGCCGAGGAGGAGGAGAGCTCCCTGCCCGGCGCTGGAGAAAGAGGTAAGTTTAACCCCTTCCACCCCATAGAGCCCAGCGGGAGTGGGACCTTGAGGGTGGGGGAACCCTCAGGGCACTATAGTGCCAGGAAAACGAGTATGTTTCCCTGGCACTATAGTGGTCCTTTAACTATTCACAACACCAACATATTTCTGATAAGGAGGGACAAATGACTGATAACCAAATCTGTAAAACATATTTTATGTGCTTTTGCCTTAATTCCATTAGTATAGGCACTATTTCTGTTTTTGGAAAGAACTCAGTTCAATAAATAAATACTTGTCTGAAAGTGTTTACACCTAGAGATTTCACGTAAAACACCATTCTTCATTCTGTTAGAAAAAGAAGGACCGGAGTAAACACACATGTTAAGCCTGACTTATGTTATTTTTCAATGGCATTACAGTTTGCTGTCAGGGTGTTAACAACTGTGCTGTGATGGAAAATCCCATTTTTCTAACTGGAAATGGCTGGAAATAGCCAAGTAGATACAAAGAATGTACTACAAGAGACATTAACAAATGCCTGAATATTCTGCAGTGCTTTCACACTTCATGCTCTAGCTCAAACCTTCCACTCGCCACAAGACTTATGCACAAATCCTGTTCAGCAGCCATCAACCAATAAAATGACTGCCATAATAAACCAAAACCAAATCAATTCGTTCATCCAGAGATTCACAGGCATTTGATCCGGTCATCACAGTCTACTCGCCTCTGGTAAATGTGCCATGGTCACTCCACCGCTTGCTGTGGCAAGTAACTGGAAAGGCCTGGCTAGCAGCGTAAGAATTACAGGATAATTATCTGAAGTGAGAATTCAAAGTAGATTTCAAAACTATTGCCAAAGTAGCTGGATTGGAGGCAAAGCTGGCTTAGAGAATGTTTCCAGTGCTGCCATTTTTACCTTCAATTCTCACTTCAGTGAATAACCCTGTCAAAATGTTAAGCCCTCTCTAGATCATTCACCCTTCCTCCAATACACAGCCACACCTATTAAAGGGCACTTCATGCAGTATGTGAGGAAACACCATAAAACTGGCTTGTGACTGTAGAGATTAATATAATACACTATGCAGTTAGTTAATAACTGTGCAGCGCCCTCTGCTGACTGAACAAAACTGTGTGCATTTACATAATACATGTATGCAAATGAGGGCAACCATATAAGTAGTTAAATGTATATATTGTTGCTTTTTAGTCTGTTTGAAAATGTTACTTGTACTAAATAGTTCATGTATTAAAGGGACACTATAGGCACCCAGACCACTTCAGCTCATTGAAGTGGTCTGGGAGCAGTGTCCCTATTGCACTTAGTGCTACAATGTTCCAAAAAGGTTCCAGAGCGTAATGTGGCACTTCCTGAATCTTAATGGACATTTGGTCCTATAACTGACACTGGACGTCCTCACGCTCTGCATTAGGACATCCAGCGTCAGTGCACTTGCCGCACATGGGCATTACTACCTGCTCATCATGGGACGTCGGAGGAGGCGGAGCCGCAACCCAGCACAGAGGGACATCAGTGTTGCGATAAGGTAACTAAATAACAGGTTTTTAACCCTTTATTCACTGACTGGAGGCAGAGGGAGCTTTGTATTCCTGGCTCTTATGGTATCAATTTAATTATAAATGCTCTTTCTCTATCTTTTGTATATTTGTATTCTAAATTATTTTCACCACGTGTTTAAGGACAAGTCATCACAGACAAGTTCTTGTCCAAAAGTAAGCATTGTATGTTAGTTCATTTTGGAACTGTGTCCTGATTGATTAGTTTAGGGATCCCAAGAGAGTTCTTGGACCTTTTTTCTGGCTGCAACAGGTTAAAAGGATAGCTAGGCTTTGTAAAGGCAATAGCTGGTCACAGTCTAGGCAGAGGTGGGAATATCTGCCTGGGAAAGGAGTGGCAGAGGCAGAGGGGACAATACCTGCCTGGACTGAGGGAGCTGCAGCTTGGTCATCTGGAAGAGTTCCTGAGAGATCCCGGTCTAGCTTCAGCAATTGGGTCTGACGTGTTCCAAAGTTTTCTGAAAGCAGCGAGGAAGTGGACTTGGCAGATGTACTCAGTTGGACTATCTCTGCTTTTTTTGTCAAACCATTTTCAAATGTATTGAAAAACAAAATGTATTGTCTTCAGAGGCTCAGAGCACTGCAAAATAAGGGGATTCCATTAACTATTTAGAATCAGTAAAAATCTCACTAATTGATAGTAATATGTAAAAATAGGGGTTATCCTGCCAGGGAAGAAATGGCACAACATAGTGCAAAATTGTGCAGCAGAGTAACAATTAATTTTATACACCAAATTTTACAATTTAGAAAAGGATTCAGTATAATAGATGTAGATCTGTCCCAGGTCTTGAGCTTTATGTATCTCAAAATAAGAAACGACAATGTGCAATCCAATAAAATAGCAACCAAGTAAAGTGCACAATGCAAATGTATTAACTTACATTGAAGTTAGCAATAGCAGATGTAGCATGTTAACATAAGTTCATGAAGTTAGTCCTACTCCTTTCATCCCACCTAGGGACTTTCTCAGTGACAATTCTGTGCTTTTCAAACCAAATATAAAGTACAAAGTCAAACAAGTCACACCATATATATTTTCTTCTATTTATTTTTCCCTCAAGCACTAGCACAGGCAACCATCGGCACTCCAGATGTTTTGGACTACACCTCCTTTGATGCTTTACCAGCATTAGGGTGTAAGAGCATTATGGGGGATGTAGTCCACAACATCTGGAGTGCCAAAGGTTTCCTATCCCTGCACTAACAGGTAGTGTCAACTTGGTGGTGACAGAAAAGGGTTAATGCAAAACCCACATAAGTAAGAAATACCCTGAATGCATTCAAATGGCTTTAACATGGGACAAACTAAGCTGGAAATTGCTAATTAAATTTTACTCTGAATTATTCCCAAATCATGTATGCAGTGGCGGAACTACCGCGGTCACAGGGGTCGCAGCTGCGACCAGGCCCATCACACCAGGGGATCAGACTGCTCTGTGGACCCCTGCTGACAGGACTGGCTCCCCTTGCAAAACTGCTATTTAGTATATTGCCAGTTTGGCAATATACTAAAAAGCATTTATCTTTCCTCACTGATCAGCCAATAACCTCAGTAAGCAGCAGAGTGGGGTGCAGATGGTTTATCCAGGTGTCTTCATTTTTTGTGTGTGCTGCGGAGGCACATTTAACCAGGGCTGGTGCAAGGATTTCTGCCGCCCTAGGCAAAGATACATTTTGCAGCCCCCTCATGTCACTCACTCACTGACAGACACACACTGGCAGACACAGACACACACACTGGCACACACACGCACTCACTGACAGACACACACACACTGACAGACATACACTCACTCACTGACACAGAAACTCTCTGACAGACACACATGCACAGACCACACTGACATACATACACTTACTGACAGACACACACACACAGGCAGAGAATCACTGACAGACAGACACACACTGACAGTTAAACACTCACTGACACACACACACACACACACACTGACATACATACACTCACTCACTGACAGACACACACACACTGACAGTCAAACACTCACAGACAGACACACACAGACACACACACTCACTCACTGACATAGATACACTCACTGACAGACACACACACTGACAGTCAAACACACAAAAACACTCACTGACATACATACACTCATTTACTGACAGACACACACATACACTGACAGTCAAACACTCACACACTCACTGACACATAGCCTCCCTACCTCCCTGGGGTCCAGTGTGGGGCAGCTCCTCACTTCTCCAACGCGCTGTTTAGTATACCGGGCCCGGAATGATGTCATATTCTGGCTCCCGGCATCACAGAGGGTGCACATTGAAGAAATGGGAAGCTGCAAGAAGACCCTCCCTCACCACCCACACTGCCTTCTTCTTCCCCCTCTCTTCTGGCATTTGTTGGCAGAGCAGGCACTGGAGGAGGGGGAGGGGGCGGCTCATGGTATGTGTGTGTGTCTGTGTCATGGTGTGTGTGTCTGTGTCATGGTGTGTGTGTCTGTCTGTCATGGTGTGTGTGTCTGTCTGTGTCATGGTGTGTGTGTTTTTCTGTCTGTGTCATCGTGTATGTGTCTGTCTGTGTCATGGTGTGTGTGTCTGTGTCATGGTCTGTCTGTGTCATGGTGTGGGTCTGTCTGCGAGACCCGCGGCGGCCTGCGAGACCCACGGCGGCCATCTTGTTGGTGTGTTTGGCGTGGATGAAAACCCTCAGCAAGTGGAGGCTTCTGATTTTGACACAGATTACAGCTATAAAAGTGAGTGTTACTTCTTTTTTCACACAGTGACCTGTGGAAGTGGGTAAATTAACCCTTAGGGAGTGGGACTGCCAGTCAGTTTTAAACAAGTATTCTGGCAAGGGGTGAGCCCCCGTATGAGTGCTGCCTACCGGAATTTGCTATAGCAATTCTGTTTCTCCTGGGTGAGCATCAGTGATTGCAAGAGTCCGCTTTAACGCACTACTAAGCGTTATACACTACACGGCCAACGGCTTTTTATCAGACCCCTCCCACACGTTCCCTACACTTCTACTAGCTGTGCCTGTCAGCTAAACTAATATAATGGAAAAGGAGACACAGATTTCCACTGATCAAATGCAGGCCATGAATAACGCGGCTGTAGCTGCATCCCTCGAGAAAGCCATGGCAAAAGTGCTCCCAGCGGCCTCTGATACCCTCAAGGCGACTGGCAAATCTAGTTGCACCAGGGAGGACACAGAAGAATCAGACGATTCCTCCATGGAGAGACAGCGCCCGGTGACACGCCACTGGAAGGGCGAAGAGTCTCGGAAGGCTGCTAGTAAGGGCAAAGCGCCCCTTAAACATAACAAACGCAAGCCCGAACCCACACCCCCGGCAATCCCCAAAGAAGTCTCATCGGATGAGGAAGGAGGTATGCCCCACTCCCTCTCCATCCTGAATGAGTGGCAGGCAGAGGTCTCGGACTCAGATGACAGTGATTGGGGATCCAACGCCTATGTCACAGAGACCTTTCTGGGTGAGCCCCAGATGAAAGGGGATACAGAGTCTTCCATGACGACCTCTACTCAAGAACAAGAGGTCTTTATGGATACCACGGGGCAACGTATGTTTGATCCCAGAAACATACGCCACCCCCGCTTAGGGGAATGGGCTCCATCCGACCA